ACTTAGATAGGAATTCAGCCTCATAAGCCTTGTGCACTGCGACGCGATTCTTGTACTTCTCGGTCGGGCCTTTGCTATCCGTGATGGCACCTGGTGCATTGAACAAATCCTTCCAGCGAGCCGATGCTTCGAGCGCATCCACACATCCGTTCTTCGGCTTGGCCATCCAAGAGATGTAAGCCAGCTCAGACATCATCTCGGCCACGCCGTCGAGCAGTGTGCTCGATTCCTGCCACCGCTCCTCCCTGTATTGGAGGATGCTGAAAGGAGTCTTGCGACGCTTCCCGGGCGGAGGAGCCGACTCCCGATACGCTTTCAGCACCTTCCTCAACTTCTCGGGGTCTTGACAAACCTCGTTCCACCAAGCCAGCTGGTCCTGAGCAATGGCTGCATTCTTCAGATTCTGGATCACCTTTCTGTCGTCTCCGCATTGGCCACTTCCAGGTGGAAAGTTCTCTGCAGGCAGCCACTTGCCGCAAGCAGGACAGAACTTCTTGCCGCCCTTTGTTGTCCTACTCCGAACTTGTTCACGATCTTCAGTTTGCCATTCTTGCCGTCGTCCTTCGCCGCTTTGGCCTTCGCCGACCGACCCTTCTTTGCCGCACCACCCTGGGACTCATCAGCCGAAGCAGGCTCGCTGCCGACGTCGGCAGGCCCATTGTCGTCGTCAATGTCAAGGACCTCCTCCACGTCGGACATGACAATTGGCGACTGTTGGTGGGCTACGAAAAGGCAAAAAACAGTTAGAGCCTTAAAGCACTTGTACGGTGGCAAGCCGCTCAGACACTTGCTGCAGGTCTCATGACAAACCCTAGTGGCCCTACTGCACAAACCTCTTGCTCAGACTCAGACAGTCAGACAGATCACAGGACGACGATGTCAATCACACACTTCACTCTTTGCTCGAACTCATGCTGGCTATGCTCTCACAGATGGCCCCTGAGACAACACAAAACTGCTGCGCAAGTTGAAAAATTTGGGCACCAGCAAGCCTTCCTAACGCCGAGTAGCGGGCCTACCGGTTCCGATGGCCGAAATATCTGTGCAACTGAGATTATACAACAACCAGGATCCAATGGCATTCCAGTGCATTGCATTCCCTGCGAGAATACGTTGGCTTGAGTACGACAAACCTTCACTACTGGTACCATCAAGGATGGTGTCATCAAAAGGAAAAGCAGCTATCAGCTGCTGTTGCACGCCCCTGCCAGCAGGATGAGGAAAGCCCTGTGCCAGCCAGTGTGAGCAGGCAGTGACAAGTCGCCCTGAAACGAGGTCATACAACAGTGTGTGCGTCAGCAAGCGCGGCATTGCCGCTTCCACGCACAACCTTTGCCGAAACTGTGCATTCTGTGTCACATCAGCCAATGCAAACTTTGGCCGCCAGCAGCCTGTTTCGTCCAGGAAGCCTTGCTTACCGGCCCAGTGCACCCAAGACTCTAGGCGAGCAGAATCCCCGGCACTCAAGGCATGGGAATCAGAATCGACACGACCTGCTGCTGCCTCCCTGCCGAAGGCACGGAGCCTGTCCAAAACCTCTTTGCCATGCTCAGCTGCAGGCACACCATTTAGATAGATGCTTGCATCTGCACGTAGCTCTCGAAAGAAGAGATTCTCAAACGAAATCCCAAATCGGCACTTGACCCAAGGACTAAGATGCATTGCAGTGTACTTCCGCAAACGATTGCACGGGATGCCAAGGTCCGTGGGCGAAAACACTTTTGATTGCATCATATACTGTCTCTGGAGCTTCCCAGCAGACTCAAGTGGGTGCAACGGACGAGCCTCGAGGTCCTTCAAGACATCGGCACCGCTCTCCTGGAAGATGGAGAACATCTCCTCCTCCGGAAAACACGCCACGTTCTCCTGCAAGATCGAATCAGGCTCGAAGAACCGAGTGGAATAACACCATACAAGGAAGGGCAAAGTGGCAACGTCCAACCACCCATTCTGTCCCCCCATACGACTCCAAGGACAGCATGTGTTCCCAGAGGCCTCGATCCAATATGCATGTGAAAAGCGCGAGTCATGCCGTGGAGAAATGTAGCACTGCTTTTGGTGAACAAGACAGAAATCTGCGTCGTTGAACTCTATTTGGCTCAACTCCGACTTCAGCTTGCGCACATACCCTTGCTCCAGCTTTCGCTTTCCAACCCCAAACTCCGGCTTGGTGAGCTGACCCAACTTCAGCTCCGTCTGCAAAAACTTGAACTCAGCAAGGTAACTGCTTTCGATGTCCTTCAAAGGTTGCTGAAAGCTTCGAGGAACCCTACCAAGAATGTCACCGAAAACATGGTGGATGCACGACTTGTGAGATGAGAGACACATCTGAGCCGCTGAGTTAATGTCAGTGGCCGCATGGCATGCCACGCCAGCACTCGAGTCAGGAAACGTCTGCTTCAACTGCTTCATGATTTGATGGAAGACTCCCTCAAAGCAGCCTGTTCCGGAGTACGAGCTTGTCAAAACGACCTGGGCACCACTCAGAGCCTCAAGAGCCTGGCCAGTGTCCTGGCCCATGTTCGGCACCGTCGATGTCATCTCTGCAAGATACTTCAAGTTGTGGGAGAGGGTCTCTCCCAAAGTCTGAGGGCCTGGTGGATACCAGGGCACATCTCCTTGCCGACGCTTCTTCGAAGGACTGACTGAAGTCAACGCACTGTCATCGACATCTGCCATGGTGCTACACGACGAGTAGTCTGGTAGCCCTACCGGAACACAAGTAACACAAGACCAAGGCACGATGCTTGCTAAAAGAATGCTCACTCAATCTCTACAACAGGTGTTCATGCCACGATTTACAACACCACGCACGGCAGCTTGAATGTCTCGCCCATTGCACACTGCTTCTGAAAACATGACAAGACTGCATCGCATGGCAAACGACATCCTCAGCTCTGGCCAAGTTCATGGTGATCTTCTTCATGTCTTCTTCTTCTGGCTGAAAAAAAAGAAGCTTCGATGAGCAGGCGACTGAGAGAACTGGGACCCCCCCCCCCCCCCCCCCCNNGCCCCCCCCCCCCCCATCCCACCACCGACCCCCGATTTGTCTAAACCAACGACAACGACTCGAGGGCCTCGACTCGAGGGCCCTGCCCTTGGAGCCAGCCATGCCACGACCACGCACCACAACATAATCATTATTCAGTGACACTTCCAGTCCCCGAGGACAACTGGCCCCAGCACAACATGGAAATCCACAAGCTCCTTTTGGATTGTTTGTCGTAGCATTTCATGCACACCTGTCTATGAGTCTGTTGCTACACGGCAAATGCAAAGGTGCAACCAAAATACCTGTCCCAATCAAAGTATTCTTGCAAAGGGTCAAGACCGAAACTTATGTTCCTTCCCCTTTCCCGGGCCCCCGGCCCACTGTCCCGAATCTGACTCCGACACGGTCCTTGTGTGGAAACCCAAATGTTTGCTTTCAACATCAAACACATATTTACTTGACATTGACACAGCAACGGGTGAGTCCGAAGACACGCCTTCAACAACTAGCCACCCATCTATCCCGCATTCGTTGAAAAACCGATATTGGTGAGTGGTCATAGGCGAAGCCTGTAATTTTTTGGAAATATTCTGCCAAAATGCACAATCAACCCCTTGGCATAGCTTTTTGTCAATCATAGGCATCTGGCTGCCTGGCTCCCATGGAAACAATGCATTTCAGTGGTTTTCAATTGAAAACAATAGCAAACAGAGTGAAAATATTGTGAGAAAGCCAAAACTAGCAATATCTGCCATCCCAAAAAAGCAAAGGTTCAGTTTGAAGATACCTAGATATTTCGGGTGCTGACGGAGCCACCAAATCGCTCATAAGCCCATCAGATCGCTCATAAGGCCACACAGCTCGCTCATAAGGCCATACAACTCGCTGGTAGCAGATCGCTCATAAACCCCCCAGATCGCTCATAAGCTACCCAGATCGCTGGTAAGCATCTGGCAGTCGCTCATAGGCATTCCCAATCGCTCATAAGCTTTTTGGGTTGGGACATACACTTCGGGACAAAAAAAACAAACCCTCCACACGGGCCTTTAGGAGATCCGAAATTTTGGATGCAGGCCATTCTGAAGCCATCCGGTGAATTTGTTTCTCAAAAAGCTTGTTTCGGAGCAGATTCACGCATTTCCGGATGCTTTTCGGCGCTCAGGGAGCTCCAGGGAGCACCTCGACATTTTCTGGGCACAGGAACTGCTTCCCTCGCTACTTCGGCAGGATTTCGGTAAATTTGACAGGTATTTCTGGACTGCTTGCAATTTTTCACAATTGCAAGTTGTTTGCAGGATAATTACTACATTAGAGCTGCAATGTAATGTTATGATGGCAACGTTCTTTATAATATTCTCTCGCCTCTCTCCGTACTCTCGCCTACCCTGCAGTCGACTCTCTCTGCACGGACAGCATACTGACTACACTTGAAAGGATGCCCTGCTGACTACGAAGGACGCCTCAGGCTCAAGCTGAGGCCACTCTTTGCAATGCTGCCAACAAAGTGCAACTGCAAGCTAAGACCCAAAGCACACAAATCTCAAGGACCACTTTGTGACTGGACTCGCAATGTGCCACGCAGAGTACGAAGCCGTATAGTCTTTGACTGTGAGGCTTTGGGGCAAGCAGGACTACGACTAGGAAAAGTCTGATCCTGAACTTGAGCTTGACGACGAGGATGTGGAATCCTTTGAGGACTCGGATCCCTCGTCGCCCGAGTCTGCTGAGGACGGTGGGTCACTAGCCGCAACATCATCGCCTTCATCGTCACTATTCGCAACAACTGCAGCAGCTGCAGCCTTTGGCTTGGCCTTCGCTTTCCGTTTAGCTTTTGGTGCCGGTTTGGCTTTTGCAGCCCCACGATTGGAGCTTGTTTTCGGCGCAGCAGCGGCCCTGCGTGCAGCCGCATCCAGTTCCTCGTCGGTCCTGACAGTGTCAGGCTCAGGTCTCTGGGTCAGATCTCGCTTTGCTCTGAGAACTTCCCATGACGGACAGGTTTCCGGCGGAAGCGGGACTGCCATGTGAGAGCGCTGTCGATCATGTTCTGTGCAGAGAGTGCACCAGTGCATCAGCCTGCGAAGTGTCAACACACGAGACTCCTCCGTATCTTCTGGAACAGACAAAAACCGTTTGCAGCCGGTTTTCTGATTTTTTTTGTGATAGGGGCAATTCGCTTGGTAGCCCCCGAAGCCTTGACTCTTCTTCGAGATCTTGAATATCCCGAAAAAACCACGTTCGAGTTCCGGCCCCTCCACTGGTGGGACTGCTCGAGCTCCTCTGGCTGGCGCATGGCGAGCCGCTGTAGGAGCTGCCTCTACAGACGCAGGTGCTGCAGGGCCGTCACGAGGCAGCCCATCCTCTTCCGGATTTCCCACCGCCACGTGTTCAGGTTCGTCTCCATTGCCCTCGGCATTTACGTCTTGAAGATTCTCTTGGTCTTGCTCCTCCAAGAGCTTCTCTAGTTCAGCAATAAGCTCGTCATCTGAAACTGCCGCTTCATCAGGGAGCTCATTCTCAGCCTGCAATGCCACTGGCTCAGATGGATCATCCCCTAGGTGTGGCACGTCGCCCACACCACCACCATCATCCTCCAAGTCTTCGAGTGCATCAACTTCCGCCGGTATATCTGCTCGTTTCGCAAGCTCCTCGGTAAAATCTCCTGACCCAATCTTTTCAATATGTGACCCTTTTCCTTGCACAGTGTCTACACTCTCCAGCATAATTCGTTCACTTGGTGACCCTACATTTGTCTTGGTGAGGATGTAAGTCTATAAGAGAGAAACCGACGAATCAAAGAAGGAGCTACTGTGGAGAGTCTGCAGAGTGAGTAAAGGTATAATGGGATACCACAACTACTCTCAGTCCTGCTCTTTATTTATTTCCCAGAACAATTAATCCTGCAATGACCGGCAAACGCAACAGGCGTCCTCGAAAGATCGCCTTGTAAGCTTTGTCATCACGGTCGTGAGCAACGGCAGGGAGTCCAGCTGCCACAAGTCGCTCTGCTTGCAAGAGAACAAGGAGATAGGACTGCGATGGGCTTTCATTCGAATACCACACCTTGGGGTTTCCAGGCTTGTACTCCTCGAAAGTACGACCAGCAAGAGCCATTCTGCGAGTCCTGCGTGAAGGTGGCACCCACAGCTGCCACTCCCACCCTTGTTCTTGCATGGCCAGTATAAGCTCATACTGCGTGCAATCTTCTAGCTTCGGGAGCTCCCGAGGCTGAAAGAGCCTCACAGGATCCTGCAGTCTTGCGCACGTTGTCAGATTTCTGACGCCGCTCTCTGTCAAACGCCAGCGGATGTCTTCACGTCCAGCGCTCGAAGCCAGACCCAGCCCTTGGAGTTCTCGAAGCAAAGGCAGTTGCTGTTGCGTGGCCGTGAAGCCCAAGCTCTGTTCATTGTTCTCAAAGGCACCAGCCGCTACGATGCCATCCAAGAGCTCGTGGTATTGAGCATGGTCGCCTTGCTGCAAGGCTGCGGTTCGGAAGCTCCACAAAAGACTTGTCGACTGCCATTTTCTCACACTCGTTTGCAACTCCTCCACATTGCCCACAAAGCTGCTCAAAAGAAATTGGCCACTGATGTCCTCTGTTGCGGTCGGATTGCCACTGACAACGGCCGAGTCTTCAAGCAGGGCACCCTGGCTCAGCTCTTTGTGCAGACACAAAACGACGCCCTTGCTCAATCTTCCGCCAGCTCCCACTGCCGGTCGAATGGTTTTCTTATCAGAAGGGTTTTTCAGAACGATCTGAAACGTCACTGTCTGCTACTCCCGCTGCTCCGGGGCGGCATCAACAGCATCAATGTCCAGATCCATGGGCACGTCGTACTCGGCTTCTGCGGCTGCGTCAGGATCCGCCCGCTGTCTCTTCGTAAGCGGCTCGTTCAAGGCGGACTCAACCGATTGCAAAGCCAGGCAGCTTTGTGGGCTGGAGTAGAACACTGTCCCCTCGTCGTCGTTGTGCAGCTTGACGAGGTGCTGCATCATGGAGACACGCAGCACACGCTCCAAACTCAGTGCTTGCCTGGCTCCGTTGTCCACCAACTGCGCTTGCATCTTCGCAGCTCCACGCTTGGCCCGCTCATGCTCTTTGCCAACGCTTGCAAACGAGTGGTACATGTCTTTCAAAGAACATCGGTACAACACCTTCGTGAGCAAAGTGTGAAGCTGTGATGGCTTCCCTGCAAGCACATCGCCATCGAACGACGGGTGGTCCTCGATGTTCAAGAGGCAAGGAATGGCCCTCAATCTGCGGGCCTGCGTAAAAAATGTCAAGAAGTCAGCCGCCGAAACATGACCTCGCTTCAGCCACCGCTCGAAAAGCGGGAGCCTGTTAGCCAAGGACACTCTCACAGGGCCAAGATGGTGACGCTTCTTCGCCAAAGAGGCCCGTGCGTGCTTCTCTTCTATGGTTGTCTCAACGACTGGAACGAATCTCCACGCTGCCACCTGTTCCGTTTCGTTCTTTGAATACCTGGGAAAGATAGAGCTTTATTGTTCAAAGAAAAACAACAACGAGAAAAAGTTTCAGAGA